GGAAATTAAAAAGTGACAATTTCTAAATTGGAGTATCTACCAGAAAACACACGGGGAATGCTGGGGGACCCACTGACGAGCCGAACCCCTCGCAGCTGCGCCATGCAGCGGCAAAACATCGGCGAAACACGCGTGTATGGGCTTTTGGCTAGTACCTGTGCTGTTAGTATGGTGTCACCTTACACTAGATTATATTAGAAATCGTGTTGAAATGATCTATTATACATGTTTTCATCTATCTTAAGGTTACTTCTAACAGACAGTGTTTCAGACCAGTTACACATCTCTGTTCATCTCAAGATTGGGACTGTGAAATTGACTTTCTCCATTGTAAATTTTCACTTTCGACTCATCGGTCTCCTGACTACCCGATGAAGTGTCTGACACCATGTGTTCTTCTTTAATTTATAAGCGATTTCAACTTTTAGTCGTTATAGAACATGGAAACGCATTCCCACAGAGACCCACCACAGGACTTGATGGTGATTCCACTGTCGTCAATGATCATCAGACGCTTTCAAGTGAACATACATCCAGAAGTTCACTATCATAGGGTACATTCGTACAAAGATATTAGAATTTGGCCTTACTTTTCCGGAACTGAATATCGAAGATTTAGTTAAGTAAGATTCTCTGACAACAGTAACAGGACCACTTGGGTTCCCTGGGCTTAGTGAATGAGTGGAAACCGTCCGGAACTAAAATGGTCCTCTTGTACTACTTTTTAAAGAAATTTGAGGCAGGCATTACTGTCATCAAATGCTCGTAAGCCCTACAACCCGCATCTAACTTGGTCATTTTATTGAAAGGAAACATTGAGTTAATGAAGCTCTTCGGATTGTAGGAAATTCCCCAAATTGCAATATTCTGTCCTAAACAAAGTGTAGAATAGTCATAAAGCAACAGTCAAACATCCGAGAAGCTAATTTATTTTGCTGTTTAAGGACTGTCATTTGTTGCAAGTGGTTGCCGCGAGTGAGTAAAAGATTTTTTGCCTTTTACACATCCCTCGAACATACTTCTCCGCACTAATGCTTTTGCAATAATCTCAAAAGGAATTCCTCATAGTCATCTTATGCGATGCTTTAGACTCCGCCGGAGTCGGCCAGCATTCCTTCGCGACAGGTGATTTATCCTCATCGACTTATATGAGCAATACTTCTACAGTCTCCACATCCGCATTACGTCTCCTACGTTTAACACAGAGATTGCTTCTAGTTTAGCCTGCGTTATCCATCTTATACTTCTAAAACCAACTTCTTTTAGGGACAAAATAAATCATAACTGTCTGACAGTCATCTGCCGCCGTGCTGACAAATATCCCATGAATGCTGGAAGAGCGACAAAACAAACATTACAGACCGTCTGATACCGTTGGTCGCAGCATAGAATAGTCTGGTCGGCAAACATGCCTGAGGCTGCTGATATTGCAAAAAGCACCATCAGCGGAAGGAAAGAAGAGGGTGTCTGAAAAACAGTTGGCGGTATGCATCATCTAGGAGAGATTCGTGTGAACCAAGCCATTGAAGCGTTTGCCTGGATGATAGCAATGTAATCTAAGATAGCTTTTTATACAATAGTTTTAACTTTAAGCCGGAAGCAGCTGCTGGGCATGAAAAAGCTTCCTACTGAATTATCTTATAGCAGGAAGCTAAGAAAGCGAGTAAGCCGACAGACCAATGATTCGATAACCCTAAAGTGTTTTTGGTTCGCATGGTGCATGGAAGGAACGTAAATGGTTTTCGCTTCGTCTCATAGGAGAACTTGCAAATGAGCTCAAATTGTGTCTTGAATGATCTTACTTTACGCATTTCATTGAAACGTGCTAATAAAGAACATTGCAGCAGTCAGTGAATATCTGACTAAGTGGGAAATAATGCTTCTCTATCAAGCTAAACATAACAGGGCGGAATTAAGGCAAATTATTAAGCAGTTGAAGCTCGATTAGAAAGTTAGCCGAAGTCAATTGAGAATTGCCAGCTTTCTGAGAGTAAACGGTTAATCTAGTCAAAATACTTTGTGTTAGTGAGTCATAGAAATAAAAAGAATGTATAAAATTCACGGCGGCTTATAATCAACATTTACTTGTCGTTTTTACTTTTAACTAATATTCAGAGTGCTTGAGAAGAATGTCGTCAACAAGAACCCAAATTTACACTTTTAAAGGGGGAGTGAGGAGTATCGTAAATTTATATGCAATTTAGGGAGAACAAGGTATATAAGAATTCCTTTTGTTCACAAAATAAAACACACAGATAAGCAACTATTAAACCATGAAACGTTTCAATCAGTTTGAAAAAAACTCGAGTTTCCCTGAGTAGTTGTGTCATGGATGGGCTCCTGTCAGTAAATGGAGCTAGATGTAGATCCGAGATCCTATAAGGAAATTGTAAGTTGAAAACTAGCTGAGAATTTAAAGAGTGAGAGACTAAAAAAGATGTGTGCTAGAAAATAAGCTAAGCTATTGTTTAGTCTATTTCTAAAACATGGCGGGATGATGCAGAAAACAAGGCATTACTGAAAATCAGGAGACTTTTCTATGTGCGCTATTCTTTAATGAATCGAGATGTAATATCACATTCATGTTTTTTTTAAAGAAAAGGCCTTTTCAGAGCGCGCAATGTTATTGCTATGTGTATTAGAGCGTTCTCACCACAGTCATCAAAAGAGTTAAGTTACCTAGGAAACGTCTAAAATCGTGTCTATTTTCCAGTTCAAACTTATAAGCTCCTTGGGACAAGCTTATCACATAGGTTTGCCGAGAATTTCACAAATGATCCGACGCGACGGGTTCTTTCACCAGATATGCTTCTGCTCAAGTTTGCTGAATGATTGGTTATCTGCCTTCCTAATCTCAAACCATGACGCAAAATGTTTAACCTGCCATTATTGACTTGGCGATCAAATACTTACTGTGGACCGCCTGATTTTGATATACAGTAGGCGGGCTAGCTCATCAAATGTAAGCCAAAATTTCGAAATCCATTTTGCTTTCGAAAAGATTAAGTAAGTAGGGTTGTGAAACTAATCCTTATGCAGCATGATTCTAGAATAATTCAGTTACCTCAGGATGCCGGTTTCCGAACAAACTTTTTTTCGGCTGTATGCAACAACTATACTCGGAAAAAAACGAGTACTTAAGTAACATGCGTCTGTCATATTGATTTCGATGCCGTTAAAACTCAATTATATTTCATGGAAAACGTACATAAAAATAATCATTCATTTAGTCATTCGGTAAAAATTTACGTCTTCTTCCAATTTTATACTCTAAGGAAAGGTGTAATTCAGTTTTCTAAAAGTTTATAATTATGAACGTCTTTAGTACCATGAAATGACCGTTCATAATAAGTCATGTCTCTGCATCTCTTAATGTAGCTTGTAAAGTTAACAATATGGCTCAAATCCACTGCTAAATTTTATGAACCCCATAAAGTCTTCTCTTAACACCGTAGAGAAATGTATGTTTTTCCGTACGCGGAAAATAGACGGCTTGTAGTTTGGAAACCCTGAATGCAAGTGTAACGGCAGGTCGAGCTCAAAGTTATGTAGGAATTGGAAAAGTTTTTTGAAAACCGAATAATACCCTTCATTTGTTTATAAAATTGGAAGAAGATGTACTTTTTATTGAATGAGTAAAAAATGCATATTTTTATGCATGTTTTCCATGAACTATGATTGAGTTTTTAGAGGCACTAAAAATCAATGAGAAAAAGGCGAGCTACTTAAGTAGCCATTTTTTTACAGAGTATAGTTTTTGAATGCTGCCGGGAAGATGTTCGTTCGAAGCCGGCATCCTGTGGTGACCGAATTATTATAGAATTATGTTGCATGATGATTAGTTTCACATCCCTACTTAATCAATCTTTTCGAAACGAAAAGGCATTTCGGAATGTCAGTTGACATTTCATGAGTTAGCCCCATCTCCTGTACTCCCCAGTTGTCCAGTGCCGAGTCAAACTTCGGTCGCAGTAAACCTCTTCGAAAACTTAATGCTATTTGATATTATCAATGAAACAGTGTCCAAAGGACACTCGTACATTACATATATTGACCAAATATTCATGGATAAATCTCGTGTAAGAAAATTAGTTTCAGGGAATAATAGGCGTTTCTCATTGTCTGAATCTACAGTGCGTGATCCCTGCGCCGGTAAGAAGTCTTAGGGGCAATCCCAATAAATCTGTGGGAAGCCATGAAATAGTATAGGACAACTGAACTATCCACCGGTCTGCAATGGATGAACTGGTAGTTGCGGCCCACGTTGGGTGGTTCTGCATTACAACCCTCACATACATAACAACGGTACAAAAACAAACGATGTCTGTCGGACAGACCGAAAATCACTGCATTAAAACTCTCTTCATCAGATTTAAATACTTAGTTTTCTTCATTTAGTTTTCTGTTAGGCGTTTGGCGCTCGCTAAGACTTGAGGTGTCTATGACGTTTCAGCTGTGAAGTGAGCCTACTTGTTTATTAGTAGACTGCTTAATTTCACAATTGGCGTATGTAATTTTTACCTTCGTATCACAAAAACTAACTTCTTAGATGTTCACAGCTATTCAGTCCTTATTGTTTCAATTAAACTGTGGTTTTGTTGACATATCCACCGGAACATACTTTGCTTAATTAATTACAAAGATTTATAAGAAACCTGCGAATAAAGTACTAATCAAAGTGAGCAGAAGAGAGAAAAAGAGGGGGCACGTACTATCTGATAGTCTAATGCTGTTTTGTAGTCAGCCTGTTTCTCCAACTTTTCCCGATTTTTATTCAACGGAATTTGGCTCAGGTCCTGATTCACAGCTTCAGCCTCAAGGCTTTCGAGTTGGCACAAATATTCTTGCATTGCACGACGTGCGGCCAAATGAATTTCCATTTGTTGGTCAAGTTGAGCTCTTATCACAGGCACGAGTGTAGGAAACAAGTGTTACATGTTAAACTGAAGGTCATTATCAAATTAAAACCGGCCAGCTGGCCGCCTGTCTGCGCTGAAAGGCAGTGTTTTTTGCTTAGTCATTAGACTTGCATGACCAACTCACAAAAATAGCAGGATTCCTTAATTCCACACTTTTCGGAATGCTGCTAATGAACTTACTAAAATAACACAAGCAAATTCTGTATACGCTGTTTGGCAGGGAAGGTTGGAAAAAATTCAATTTTAGAGTAGATTAAAGGTATTGCGAAGAAGGAGACACGATCGCTGGGACAAGAAGTTTATTTGTCTCACGTTTCGGATTCCTGCTCGAACCCGTCATCAGGGACAGAGCATCCGTATCTGCTTTTGTCTCTATTGATGGGCTCGAGCAGGAATCCTAAACGTCAGGCGAATAAAGCTTTTGTCCCAGCGACCTTGTCTCTTTCTTCACGACTGCTTACTGGGTCGCGTCTCCTCGCCTCTATTAGCAATGTATTTGGGCGCGATGCGTTCCGATCGGCCTGGCGATGGGAAACCTTCGTCCTTCGAGAGGCCTCCACGTATTTGCAGGTCCGGTTTCTGCACAATAATGTATTACCGAAATTTGTTGCATACAAGCCCCCGGTCGGCACGGATTTGACGAGACAAGCAGTATTAAAGGTATTGTCCTTCGCCACATGCCACATCCCTCTTCAGAAGACAATGATTTACCCATCCGCGGCACCGTCTATGTCCTGTAATTGAGAGTCGCTGAGACTTTTTCCGTCAGTCATACAGTCAACCAAAGTTTTCAAGGATCTGATCTGCGCATAAACTACCTCAAGCTGTTAGTTATGCACCTAATAGTCCAAATCAGTGTTGTTGACACTGGGTGCCCGTGATGGTTATGAGACGGTCGACGGGTTTCCTTGGGTTCTCGACCCCACCTGCAGCAGTCTCCAAGCAGCATGTACTAGTATCACCAGCAATCCGGAGTAGCGGTACGACGATGTCTGCAGACATACTTTTTTTTAGTTATCTCCAAAGCCCTCGAGGAACGATCCTACCCAGTCGACATCCATATCAAATCCTCTTGGCAACTGAAACGTTGCTATGAAGTCACCTATATACTGCCTGCACTAGAGGGAGTAGAGATTCAAGGTCGTCAGACGTACTAGCAGCGCCTGACAGCCTTTAATCTCTATCCTCTCCACTATATGCAGGACAGAGCTGACCTCAATTAGCTGGCACCTCAATTAGATCGACTCCGGAATGCGTGGGAGGGGAGGCAAGTGGACCATGACTTGAAACCGAAAGATGTTGGCGGGAAACTGCACGTAAACCACTAAACCGACAAACCCGCAGTTAACAGCGCAACTGCCGCTCATGCGAACTACCCAGAGGTGGTTTAGGAAAGGAGAAGTTTGTGTGCGTAAGGGTATAAAAGTGGCATTGTATATTGGACATGAATTTTAGGCAATAGAGGATAGGAACTCCACGTAAACCCTACGGAGCCTGTTCGGTAGGTGTGTTTAAGGGTTTTTCTGACCGTGGAGGCCGCAGGTCTTCCATCACGGCTACCTTACGTACTACTGTTTGTTCAGTAGGTGTGCTTGTGGTATTTTTTTTTGCCGCCGCGGCAAAAAAATACCACAAGCACACCTACTGAACAAACAGTAGTACGTAAGGTAGCCGTGATGGAAGACCTGCGGCCGCTTATTTGTCACCCGTCACGCATTCTTCAACAGGGTTATATTCGACCGCATTGCTGATATATAGGGAAACTCCGCCCCCTCGCTTTTTGGTTCGGTCTCGTCTTAGCACTTGATAACCATCTAACTGTATTTGGGGGTCTGTGACATCTGGGGTGAGCCACGTTTCAGTTAATGCAAAAACATCAGGACATAGTTCGGCCACAATTATTCTAAGTTCGTCGAGTTTATTCAAGAGACTTTGTACATTTCCGTAGAAGAACTTAATTTTATGTAGGTTGTTACATCGAATTAGTTGCCCGGCCGTGTGGCCTTCGTTAGTATGACAGGCGTCCTCCACAGGAGGGGTCTTTGTCGTCGAGCAATCACTCCGTTCATTATTACTAGTCCTTTCTCTCCTTGTGCTTTCAAGGTCGCCAGCTCCGCCTTCAGCGCCCTCCATTTCAATCTCTCTTGTACTGAGTAATCCGGTTAAAAAAGACCTCTATGGCCAGTGATCCCCCCTACTGTTCGTTCAAGTAGCAGATCCCTCTGGAGTTTTCTTTCTAAAACTACCTTTAAAGGCCTTGGTTTCATCCCTTGAGAGCTCGCGCTATCTTTACTGTTTAGTCGGAACAGTTTCAGAATCTTAATGGCTTCATCTTCTTTTATTAAGCTATCCAGATACTCCCGCAAGGTCATAATATCATCATTTATTCTACATCTGGGGTTATCTTTCGTTGATTCACGAAGTCCATGGACGACTATGCATTGTGATCTGTCCACAGCACCTCCATTCGACGAATTCTGTTGGATAATTGGTCTGACCGATGATGAGGCTTCCCCAAGTTGGGTTTCGATGCTAGTTGCAGGAATATTCGTAAGAGCATGTACTTCCACTCCCACTCTAGGTTCATTTTTATTCGTTCCTGTGTTGGTCGACGCTCCCGTTATACTAGGCTCAGGAGGTGCGCATACTGTCTGGGGAGTGGTTTCCTCTTTCGTCGGTCCATTTTTATCATTTTCATCCTCGGCCCTCAGTTTCCTTTCTGGCGAGTCTGACACCTTCGCCCTCGGATTTTTGCTACCTTTCTCCATAGTCTTTCCTGTCGCCTTTTCCTCATTCTTTGCGGATTTTGGAGGTTTCACGTCACCACTAATAGCCGGGGTCTGATACTGCTTATACTGGGTGTCTCGCGCTCTACTCCTCGTTACCCTGTGCGTAGATGCTGTCAACTTATCCTCTGTCATGAAAGTCTGCTGGATAAAATTCTTCAGGTTTTTAACTTCTTCTTCTAATTGATTTAACTTTGAGGCTAGCCTTTGACAACCGCTGCAAGAGGTTTCCGCATGTGCCGATCGTAACCGATTTGCAAGGCTTTTAGAGCGACCGCCTGGGCGTGCGGTGATAGCGCAGTGGTCTGCGCCGCAATCTTTCACTAGGGTGGTCCCGGGTTCGATTCCACGGCGAGTGACGTTTTGCACTACTTCAGAGTTCGCCATTTTGTGCTACTTTAGTATATCCAACAAGAAAAAAACGATCAGGTGAGAGTTTTGCCTTAGATGCGAGACGGAAAGCCTTTGGCCTCGTTCTGGTCGTTGAGAGTTACCGTATAAGATGAATATCTTCGTCTTCAAGAGGATCGTCGAGCAAATACGGGAAGTAGCTGTTTAATTTTCGGACTTTATCGAGTATGTTCGAAATATGGTGCATTCAACAAAAAAGATTTGAAGAGTAACTCAGCCTATGCGGGAGTTGTTCCAGATATTTCGATGGAAGGATAATCCGAGTTTCTTGGCTTACAAACAGCAGAAATGAGGAATGGCTGAAGTCCGTGTCCTGAGAATCAGCCTTTGTCGCCAAAGAATCGTGACTTTCGAGTAGATAATTCCGTAAAGCAGGGAAAACGCAATCCACGCGTGAATTATTGTAGACCGGCGTGCTCTTAACACTGAGGTAGGGACAAAAATTTCGTAGCTCGGAAGACTTAGAATTTCGAACCTCGTTTCAAATATACTGACTGATACCGACTGAGTGGAGGCGACTACTGCTGGGAGCACTGCCAATCATCGCACTCATCGATTGTTCCTCTGAGACCGTACCTCTGACATTAACTTTCTCCTTGACTCTGGGGCCGAGGTTAGTGTGGTCTCAGCAACGCCTATCGACCGCAAACACCGCGACTCTCTGTATCCCCCAAGTGCCAACAATTTCAGCAATTCCACCCTTGATAGACGCTCCATCGAACTCGACTTGGGCCTTTGGCTAACTTTTTGATGGTGTTTTATAAATACCGCGGATTCGGCCTTCCCCTGTGGCCGAGTTCCTAACGCATTTCGACCTCCTGGTTGATTTGAAGGATTGCTGACTCATAGACTCAGGAACCCTGGTGCTCGCTGTCAGTCTGGAGTGAATCCGCATCCCAACACCCTTACCGTCATGCTCGTTTATGACTGTTCTTACCACTCTATTCTCAGGTAGTTCCCTCGCCTGTCCAACCCCTGATTTCGAAAAATGGACAGCAAACGCATAGTCACTCGCCGCTTCTCCGCTAGGAGGCGCTCCTTGTGCAATTGGGCAGTCACGCTGCGTCAACGCGTAGGCAACATCGGTTACCGCCGTCGATCTGATCCTGACCATTCCAGCCTCGTGATCATGTAACATCCAAATTCAACCATAGGCCAACCAAATGAATGTCCAATACACGGCCAGTTTTGAAGAAGGAGACACGATCGCTGGGACAAGAGTTCTATTAGCCTGACGTTTCCGATTCCTGCCCGAACCCATCATCAGAGACAAAAGCAGATACGGGTGGTTCATACACAAGGGGCTGCAGTATTTGTAGGATGCAGTCGTCATGCCACTGCATAACTATGAACATTCACGGCTCCCCCTTCATCGGGGATCGTTGCACTTGGTGTGCTTAGTGTTTGATGGCCGACATTCGCGTCGTTCACAACTGCAATTTCATCACGTGCGTTAGATGTTGATGTGATGGTTGCTCGACCAACTCATGACAACCTTTCCACTGTACGGAATAGATCAGCCTTCGCAGATCTCCGACTTCTGTCGTTAGGTGGTACAAAATTATTCTGTGTAGTTTCAGTTGATCCGATATTCTTCATCGCAACGAACATTCGATTTTGCTCATTGACTGACCCTTTTGCGGATAAGAAGATAGGAGGTATGAAAAAGGCTACTACTGCTCTACTATCGATCAGATTCTGGTTCATAACGATCCTTCCTAACTTTTCGATGTTTGACCTAACTTGCAGGGGCGCCGTGTTCAGTTGTCCATCCCCTTAAACTGCGCCATGAACTAAATTCGCGCAAAGTTTACATATGGTCATGATGGTGTTTACTTTGCTTCTGGACGCCGGTTAACTAGCGTTGGTTTTGCTGACTTTATCACCCTGCTAGTGTGAAGACATAACGATCTGTCGAATGTAGTGTCCTGAATGAATGAGGTCGTTAGATCAGTTGGTCTATCCACTAACTTAAGGAAAATCAAAGTGCTTTCAAGTTGCATTCTAACCATAAGAAGGCGCCTCTGTGGCTAAATGCCTGTCCTTCTGAAGAGATAGACAATTTTAAACATCCTGGAGCGAATTCGCCACAGAAATGGCCTAAAAGGGATGAAAATGTCAGCCACACGGACGACCTCCGTGAGCACACTCTGCGATATCTTTGCCACGATGATCCGCGTGTCGGACATGCAGCCGGCCACACCTCCTACGCGTCCAATAATGCTGAGATTTTTGTTTGGAAAAAGTGAGAAAACTGAAAGTAGTTTACTATCATTTCCTGGGCGCCATTATTCCAGTGAAGTACGCCGACCTTGTCATGGGTAAGACTGTCTACACTTAGTGTGGCGAGATGGCGGACATTTCTCAGGCTACCAAAAGGCCAATGGAGGTGATTCGAAAACGTTTTTCATTGACCAGCTAGTGATTTCAGTGTTATTGCTCTTGATCCTGGAATCTGCAAATAGGAAATAGACTCAAAGTTTGGCTCAGCGCAGTTCTTCAAGGCACGGAGGTCGTTCGTGCTTTTTCGGTCTCCACCGTCAGAGTGGACGGTGATCCAAGCTCCCCAGGTCCGCTGTCGCAGAAGGCCACGCGTGGAGTGGTGCAGTCTGGGACTTCATCGAGGCCGACGGAATGGAACAGTGTGACAGCCGTGACAAGTGCACATATGCCTATAATGGTGTCCTTGGGGGGGGGGGGCTATGGAAGCCTATGACTCAATAAAGTACAGAAAAGTGTTGGCACCAGTGGACTCATAAAACAGAGACTTGAAAAGATCGTTCCCTGTCTGCATTACCTCCTTCCAGTGTGACTTGGCTAGTAGACTATTGGATGCTGTGAACTGCGATCGGTGCCTCAGTCTGTCTTTACTGCTCCACGTTTATATGGCTGAATAGACAGCTGTCCTTCGATTCCTCCGGCCTATTTCTAATCGCCATTCCAGCTATCTGCGTTCTGGATGATGGCTTATTCCCTCTTACAAGGCGATTAGGTTTGTGGTTTCATCAAGTGAACTTTCAGCGCGGTTTAGAGAATGACCTATCTAACTGAAAGCCGTTGTAATCGATACACTACCTCCGAAAGCCTTTTATTTGAAAGTAGTAATCCGAAAACTTTGTGCTTGCTACCTACTTTGCTCGTTGTTCCCTTTTACTTTCATTGGACATAGGAACTATGGACTAACTGATTATAAAATATCTTCAGCCTCTCCACCCATAAAATCAAATGAAAATAAAGCTGACTATGACTCCTCCATGACAAAGAATTTTCTCTTAACAGAAAAAGAAGTGCACGTCATTTATATCCCGTCAGTTTAATTTCAACTTCCAGGACGATTCCTTTATCTATTTTCACTTTTACAATACAATAAGCTAGGATGAACTACTTAACTCCATCGGTTCACCAGAAACGAGTTTATGCTCGTCAGCGTTGTTTACTCGAGAAGAAGCCGCATACACGGCTTAAGAAAATGTACTAATTTTCTCCTGAACGCTGGCTATTCACAATTTTGGTTGGGAAGGGGAAATTCGACGACACAGGGTAGCTACGACATAACGTCCACAGCACCTAGATGGGCAAAATTTTTGGCCAAAATCTGTGCGTAATATATGTTTAGTTTTATAGTTATATATCAATAATCCTTTGAGAGTTACTGCTTACCGCAGTAAATGCGCCAGTACTTTCAGACAAGTAAGTGTTTTTTAAACGCCAAAAAATTATAGCTTCTTATAAAACAAACGCAACAATCGGATTTATCATGCCTTCTTCACATTGAATAGTATTTATCTCTTCAGATTTACATCAGGGGCGATAAAGCATAAACATACACATTTTTGTTTGACGGATTCTCATTGCAATGGGTATTTCTAAAACTATTCAGTCGAAAGGCGGCACGGTGACGTGAAGAGACCAGCTCAAACCAGGCCTGTGGCTAGTCGATTTTTCAAAGTCACCTTAACAGTATAGTCCAGTTGCGAGGTCCCCAAAGTATTTCGGTCAGAGTTTCTTTGAATTCATGTTTAGTGTAGATCCTGTCCACACACTACTGACAGTTTCTCAGAGATCAAACCAAAAAGCACAGCCTCAATGTATTTTTAAAAGTCTAGAAAAATCAATTCCATACGTTATCCATGTCTGAGGAAATTATTAAGGACCAAAATAAACTTTTCGAGGAAACTGCTCTTAGACCCGAGGTCTGGAAAACTCTAACTGTGAAATATGCTTTGCTGTATTAACCGACCGACCTCTCTTTTAAGCCTTTCTCCCTGCATAAACAAACTCTAAAGGCACTCGTCCATAAAGGGGAACTTACTTGAAGTCAGCTTGACGTGATGCTTTCGTTGGCGTTTCTGGTCGATTTCTGTCGATGTAGCATGCCATCGGATAAAGAATATGCTGTTTTCGTCGAAAAAGCGAACGAGTAGAGGTTTGATTGCTAGGGCCTGTTTGCGTCTCAAGGTGGCATCCGGAACCCTGTGTAGGCAAACATGAAATGGAGTGAATGTAAGGGTGAAGTCTAAGAATTACTCAAAACAGCAGTTTAAAGTTGGCATTTCCCCGTTGGTAAGCATGGCAGAAGCAGTCTGCTTTGTTCTGAAGAATAATCCTGCGCACGATACGAGGAGTAAAAATGCCTTTGAAAAATCTCCGACGTGACACGACAGTTCGACCGTTGTTTTTCGACTATGTCCACCGTGTGCTCCATAACAGGGTGACAGCAGAAACAGTGACCGGCGCGTGAATTAGCTTACAGTGATAGTGGACTCTTATATACCGCGCTTATTACCACACTCTCTTCTCCTCCCCCACCTGATCCTGGTGTCATGACCAGGTCAAAAAGACCGGAGGCGGGGAAGGTCTCAGATGGCTGGCACGGAGCAAACCCGCACCTACAGTAGGCGAGCTAACTCATGAAATGTCAGCCGAAATTTCGAAATGCGTTCCCGTTTCGAGAAGATTATTTATGTGGGGTTGTAAAACTAATTATCTTGCAGCATAATTCTATAATAATCCAGTTACCTCACGGTGCCGGTTTTCAAATAAACTTCTTCCTGACTGCATACAAGAACTATAATCTGCAAAAATAATTACTTAAGGAGCATGCCATTATGTCATTGATTTTCGATGCCCTTAAACATTCAAGTATATTTCATGAAAGACGTGCTTAAAAATGTTCATTCTTTGGCTCATTCGATAGAAAATGACGTCTTCTTCCAACTTTATACTAGAAGGAGGGATATAATTCGGTTTTAAAAGTTTCCGATTTTGCGATTTGTTAAAACCGTAAGATGACCATTCATAATACGTGGTGTCTCTGCATTTACTAATGTGGCTTGTATAGTTAACAACATGACTTGAATCCACTGCTAAATTTTAAGAACTCCACATGGTCTTCTCTTAATACCGTAGAGAAATGTATGGTTTTCCATACGCAGAAAATGCATGGCTTGTAGTTTGGAAACCCTGAATCCAAATGTACCAGCAGAGCGTGTTTAAAATTATTCGGGAATTGTAAAGGTCTTTGAAAACCGAATTGTACACTTTCTTCGATTATAAGATTGGAACAAGACGTTGTTGTCTACTGAATGAGCAAAGGAACAAATATTTTGTACATGTTTTCTTCGAAATATAATTGAATTTTTAAGGGCGTTGAAAATCAATGAGAAAAAGTCAGGCTAATTAAGTAGTTTTTTCGCAGATTAGAGTTTTTGCATGCAGCCGGAAGGAAGTGCTTTCGAAAGCCGGCATCCTGAGGTAACTGAAATATTATAGAATTCTGCTGCAAAATGATTATTTTTACAACTCTACTTAATTAATCTTTTCGAAACGTGAACGAATTTCGAAATTTCGGCTGACATTTAATGAGTTAGCCCACCTACTGTAGGTGTACCACCACATCCCCTGGTCCACAACAAACGCCTAACCAGAATTTTAAACACAATAAATATGGAGATTGGCTCGGATCTCAACTGGCGCGGCGTGAGCGGGCAAGTGGGCCTGCCACCGCAACCCGGATGGTGGCATTTGTTATGGATGTACATTCCCAATAAGGTCACCCGGACTAGCCCGCATGTTGGTCCAGCGCATCTACCGAGGGGTGCGTTTTGGGAGCATACATTCCTGAGAGATACCAACGCGAGCCTGTGGCGGACAATAAAAATCGGACTTCCATCCCTGTAACTGCATCTGCGGACCCGCGATGTCAGTTAGCGGCAAGTGAGGTTTCTTTCAGGGTTTGTTACAAACTAGTCCTGCGAAGAGGACCTGTACAGAGAATAACATTTACGCACGCATGAAGATGCTACTTTGAAATGTGTACATTCAATATCGTTTAATTCTTGAGAGCATGCTAAACCGTGAGCCGCATTTCATAAAATATTGACGATTTTGCGCTCTCAAAGCGCAAACTATATCCATCTTTCAAATGCAGATCTCAACAATGAAAAAACTAGAATAATAAGGATAAGAAAAGGGAAATCATATAGAAAAAATAATGAGATCTCAAGAACTGAAAATATAAGAAAAACATGTACTGCTTGAGCTGTTAATGTTTCCGAAAAGCATAACCAAAAATCTCTGGAAAGAAAATAAATTAGAGCTAACCAATGGTCATGCGAACTATCTCAAGTTCACTTTGCGCTTATTGATATTTCAGCTCCAAAATATATAACCTTTCTTTGGTAAAATCGCATATAACGTTTTGGTCACGGTTGTATTTTGCAAAGCATGGTCCAAATCACCATGCTAGTCTGTTTCCTAACAACAAGACATATTCAGCGACCGACCTTATAAAGTGCTAGCCGAAATTCTGAAATGCGTTTTCGATTAAGAAGGGTTGGCTAGCAGAGTTTTTCTGTTGATTCTCATGCGGCATAATCCTAAGATATTTCGGACTCACCAGAATATTTGCTTAGAATGCATTTCTTTTCGACCTTCGCAAAAACCGTACTCTGCAAACAGTTCTGCTTCAACAGTATGAATTTTCATGTTGATTTTCCATGCCTTATAGATTTGAATATATTTTGTATAAAAAATGCAGTAAACATCCCTTCTTCTGCTCATTTGGTAGCAAACCACGTTTTCATAAAATTCTATACTCGAAGGAGTACCTTTCGGTTTTAAGAAAGCTTGTTAGTTATAAGATTTTTCAAGAGCGTGCAATGCTGATTCGTGCAGCATCGTACCTGGGCGTTTATTAATGGCCATCATGAAGCATGCAACGTAGTCCACATCCATCGCAAAACTCTTTAAGCTGTACGTTGCATCTCCTTAAAGGCACAGAGGAATATATGATTTTCCTCACGCGGGAAGTGTGTCTCTTGTTAATCAAAATTGTTAAACACTAATGCAACGGCTAGTTTGACTCAAAATTATTCAGGAATTGAAAAAAATTTCAAAATCCAAACATTTTCGCTCTTAAAGTGAACGATGTAAATACCAGTAGGGGGGGGGGAGGGGCGCTCACTGATCGTGTTATGAAACTCATTCGTCGCGTTGTGCCTTGGGGCTCTCTGTCTCTCGGGCCCAACCAGCAGCCGCACAGCGGCGCATGATAGAGGCAGAATAACATTACCGACAAAGACAAGAATGACTGGAGCGGCCATCTCTGGTTCATTAGACGTCGTCAGTCAGTCATACCCGACCTCGGAGTGTGGAACACCTGGGGCTCGGCTTACTGCCACATGGATGCATGGAAGAATATTTTTGTACATGTCGTCTGCGAAATATGCTTGGATATCTAAGGACATGGAAAATCAATGTGAAAAACACATGCTACTTAAGTAGTTACTTTTTGCGGAGTGCAGCTCCTACAGGTCACAAAGAAGTACATTCAAAAGCAAACATCCTAACAAAACCCAAATATGATACGATTATGCCGCATGACAATCAGTAGCACAACCTCACCCAAGTAGTCCCTACTAGTCCAAAAAGCATTTCGGAATTTAAGCTAGCACTTCATGAGGTCGGTCAACTCCGTCTGCACAAACCACCTCCAGTTTAAAAGTCGCAATCAACGAAACATCCTTATTTGTCGTTTGGGGCACTTACCTTTTGTGTAAACACGTCAAGGCGTCCTTTACACTTGTTTTTAACGATCCAGGACGTACTTGTCCTCAAAGTAAACGGCTTTTAGTTGACCATTGTTTCGAGTACGAAAGGCCCTTTGTTGCACATGGATAACCAACCATTTCAGTGTTGTTATCAAATTTATGATAGAATGCTCCAGCATGCAACAAGGAGACGATGACAGACAGCTTAGTTTATCTACGATTTCCCTGTCGGTATTAACGATTTCGTCTTAAACAAAGAGAGAGAGCTAAATGGGGAGAAATGATTGCGTCACGAACCTTGCCAACAAACGAGGATGCATTAACTACGCTATTCGACTAGGTCTCCTTACCGTCGAACAGGGTAGAACATTAATAAATGGAGATCCATAATGTGACCATGCAACGTTCATGCTCTACAGTCGTTTTGAATGGGAACAGTCCATCCTTCAAGCTTAAAACGAACCTTATTTGCATCATTGGTATCACCTGTTACTAGGTTCTTGTGGCTATAAACGAATGTACCCTCCGCAACAATTCGTACAAAGTAATAAAACACGCATAGTGAGCCGAGATGGTTCACTGTTCCGCAGGTCGATCGAACTACTACTACTACTACTACTACTACTGATAAAGTCCTAATCAACGGAGGACTGACATTCAGTCGGAAAAAGAAATATGAAAGAATGGCTCAGTAGGGAAACCGCAAAAGCCAAGAAGGCCGACAAAAGGGAATAGGGCGAACTTGAACGAGCAGCTTATTGTCAAATCGACACACGCCGCCTCCAACCTCTCTGTCGACAAACATGAAAACCGCACTACCGATCAGAAGAAACCCGAACATGTGGAAATCTTTCAAAAGACCATAAGAAGACAAAAATTTCAGTCCGCAGGGGGTGGATGCTTTAGGCGAGCTGACCGCCTTGGGCACTTGGAAAGGACTCGGATGAGTACCACAGGACAAAAATAGATATCCAAATTGCCTACAGGTGCGACCCAGTCAGTTTATGCTCCTCAGACTGTTCTTGAATGACAGATGGTTCCATATTCAAATGCGCGCTTACGAATACCAGCGCCTCCTCGTTCGTGAACCAAAGATCTCTGCTCATTTTCCCAAATGGACGGTCAATCAATCAAGTCTCTCGGACACTGGCATTGTCTTTTTCGTGCAAACATTGTTGAAATGAGGTGGTTTTTTCGGCACATATACTCATCCTCTACATGATCTATAAAATCAAACTAAAAGCCACCATGCCTTTATTCCTTAAGCCATTCTCGAAACCTGGTGTTCGTAATCTTAGGCCCTGCATGGTTGTTGACTATAGAGACAGACGTAAATGCGTACTTAAACGAAGGAAGTAGGCATTCTGTGAAATGTATTACTTGTGAAAGAGTAGCCTGTGCACTTGGCTTTGTATCCAAAACCGCATTTTTCTGGTTAACCGATGAAGCCTTTTGATGGCATAAATAGCAGAGTTCCTGACCGGCTGCTCTGGAGTGGCCGCATGATAATGTCTCCAAATGACTATCTGTCATTTCGGTCCTATTGGTCAGGCTGGTTCGACCGGTTGTTGATTGACTGCCTGACTCGCCCTTATCATTTCCGCAACTTCGCCTTCTTGATTCCCATGCTTCTTCCTCATCCCGAAGCAGGGAACGCTCGCTTCCTTTCGCATTTGCGTACTCCGGTTCATTTTTAGTATTCAGGGCGTTTCTTATTTGGATCTGAAGTTGAAATATCGACAGAGCAAGGTTGAGGAGACAGGTAACTTGCATTTTTCAGTTAGTTCACTTTGACAATACGGCCATGAAATACGTTATGTTAACAATTATAGAGGGCGCTCAGAGATTGTATTGTGGGAGATACTCGTCTCTTTGTGTCTTGGGGCTCGATCTAGAGGCCCGCAAGCATCCGCACAGTCGTTGGTAGTATAGGCAGAATGCTTATTTCTGGCCTATTAGTCGCCATCAACCGCTCATACCCAACCCCGGGTTTGCAGTCTCTGGTGGTTTTACAGCCTCGTGGTCGTTTTTATATGCAAGAATATAGTTTTCTAAGTCAGGAATTACATGTGTTCGGTATCTGTCAATTATAAAATTTTGCCAATATGACCGAATTTGATGGGAATCAAAAATACACATCAGAAGCTTTTAAACTTTTTTAATAAACACGGAAAAAAACACGGATAATTGATCTTTTTCATGTAAAGGCCTTCATAGAAAGTGGAAATATTATTTGTTAGATGTAGTTACAACTTTACAGTGCCATATTGATCTTTTGAAGGTTGCTTCCTAGAGACCTTTAAAATCATCATTCCTCTTCTGCTATTTACTGGATTCCCCAAAGGTTGCTTTCTGGTTTGCCAATTTCCTCATTTTAATGTTCAGACGCAGGTTTCTTAAATTGTTTCGAAGAGCCTTTTAAATGTATTGACTCACAAGTTAGGACGTGGGCACACTGATGCGGAATAAAACGCATATGATAGCTCACCCTATGCACATTTTGGTGGCCGCTAACTTTATTCCGCTCAAAATCACCGTTTTCTATCTGCACAGCTACCAAACTTTTACACTTTATTGCAATAAGATTAAGTGGCAGTAATTAGACAATGCAGACTGTCAGGTGTCCAGGCAAAAGGAATAAACACGGAAACCTGACGGCGGCCGCCCTCGGTCTGGGAGTCTGATTGTACTTCTGCCCCCAGAGAATGTGTTTTTCTACTCGACGATGCAAAGGAAGCATCCAGCGACGTTGATGGGCACTCTTAAATTGAAACACATCGTTAAGGCAAATAATAAGAAAAATTTCCTTGTGCAACGCTAAACATTCATGCTCTATAGTATACAAAACGTTGTTCTAAAAATTATTGAAGTCTTGAATGTACAAAGTAAATCGAAACTTACCATAGTCAATCGAAAACGTATTCAATCTAAAAGTAAACCATCGAAACCATATTTCAGTAACTTGCTCCTGGTTTTCTTTCCACTGCAAAGCTTTGTTTATAGTTGGTTGCAATCCGTTATTTTAAACCTTTAAACACGCTCAGTATTAAATATTTGTTCAGCGACGATACCCATGTAAACATTTAAAATGCCAAGTTCGGCAAACGTTCGGCTTCGATTTTCGATCATCAGACCTGTAGGATGATATAAAGGAAGGTATTGTAGCAAACGTTTACACGGTCAGTAAGTATGGAGGAGAAGGCTGAGAGCGTTCATAGGTCAGGGGGTTATAGTCTAGTTCTTTCAGAGACTTGGGGAGGGCGAGGGAGAAGACGTCTAGCGATTAGATATATCTCTGTTTCGTCCTTGTAACGCGAAGTAGCAGGAGGTGTGAACAGGCATGCTGGTTTCATCTGTGGCCAAAGGAGCCTTAGGGTCCGTACAAACGTTTTGTGTGAACACAAGATTAAAGTAACTAAGTGTACGGTCACTGCTCCTGCCTTCATAAGTATCGCTGGAGAAGAAATTTGGAGTGTCTTGCTGTTTAACATTTTCTACTCTACCTTCCCTTATATTACCGTACAGCCCCCATTAACAAGGATTGAGATCGTACGTTTGCCGAACTCGAACTAATAAAATGTTGTCCATATGTTTCTGGAGTCGCGTGCCTCTAGAAATCAACATAACGACCGACCTCGGGGGATCTTTGTAATATCTGCAGGTTATTGTCTCCCTCCTAACAAAGTCTTTATATAATCAGATGTTCACCAGTTTAAACCAATGAACAAAAGGGATCCTTTGTTCTGTAATTCACTAGGTCTAAATTATTTTGCCTCTTAAGAGTGTTGTAGTAGGATTGCTCTATCTATCTGACTTAACGCATAAAAGTGCAAAATATTTTTGGATTGTGCAATTACTTCATTTGAAAATAAGGCAACTTTGAATCTACTCCCCAAAGCAGTCTCCCCGACATGAAGAGTTTCATTAAGGTGTCAAATAAATTCAAGTTCAAATAGATGGTCCTTATTTCATTGGGGCACAATTCCACTTAAAAAAGTTTATCAGAAAAAAAGCCTTGATTATTTGTATAATTCTGTTTTAACGGCACCTCTACGTGCACAATCAGAAGGCTATCCATATCGATCAGTTGATCCAAATAATACAAAGTCAAGTTCATCAAACCACTAGTGCACTGCCAAAATCATTGGTCTTCCGACCTAGAATTAGGCGTCCGACTAGGTGACGATAGAAACAGAGATGACAATGACAATTTCTGCCATACTTTTCTTGAGCGCAAAAGGGACAAATCTGCCAAATCTAGGATTCGCACAAAGATTTCTATCAGCAGACCCATTTTTCTTTCCTTATCTTGCTCTGGATCACAGTCTTAGGACGTGCAAATATGTCACATAAAGAAGGCAAGGGAATAGATGGCGTTTCATGTCATACTTGCTCCATCCGTCGATTTCTTGGCAAATGCTGAAGCCTGCTTATGTATGAAGCAGAAACGGATCATTGCAAAGGAGCTCAGCAATATTTTCAAGATTTGAAAAATAGTTAAAATGATTGGTTCGCGTTAAGTAGTTTAAGATATGGTGTCCAGTTTGAGATATTTATCGAACGGAACAGCGAATTTTTTTCAAAATTAACAATTGCCAAAATCTGATGAGCTTCAATCAGCAATTAAAGTTAATGACACTTTGGTTTTTTAAGGTTTTTAAAAAAGTATTTGATTGTACTCAGGTTAATGGATTAGCATGTCATAACCACTGGAAGGCTGCATAGCAGAGTCCTACAGTAGGACAAAGAGGAATAGAATGAATGTTAAGTTTAAGTAAATTTTAGGAATATATTTAACGTGATCTCACAGAAACGACAATGAGTAAATACAACTTCTAACCTGTTCTAGACGAGTATTTTTGTGCTTTATTAAAGGAGGACATAGTTGCAACGATTATTTTGCCTAAATGTTTTTTCGAATGGATCTCTATTTAAATGTCCAATTTAATAATTAGGTAAAATCCGAATGCAACCTTTTTGTCGTTGTTTATCAGTATTTAAGTGCCTTTGTTCACCAGGAGTCCCTGAATATAAGGACCACATAGCAGTTGTGAGCTTGTTTGCAATTACCACCTAACAGAATCTCAAACGTGAGGTCATTACGCTCTCACCAGACTGAATGACCGAGGCACCGTCAAATGCGATTGAGAACGGTATACAGGCAGTTGTCCTACTTTTCGCATTTGCAGGCAGTCTTATGACAGCGGGCAGTCAATATATAACAGCGACCGTCACTGCGAAGGTCACAGCTCCGCTGCCAGAGCATCTAGTTTGGTAATCAACTAACTTCCAATATTAGATTATTTTTTTAAACTGAGGCTGATGAAGACCTGGCAGACGATGAACAATAAGAAGTAAATGGCATTTTGGGCTCGGCCATCTTTTTTAATAATGTATTTCATCAAGTTATTGTTTTTGGTCATGAGATTTATTCCCGGCTCAATGATTAGCCTGAGCTCCTTTGCTTTGTTTTAAAATTAGAGTCAGTCAATGAATACTACTGTTACATGTATTTTTCATTTTGTGCTAAACTTTGGTCAAGACAGCATAAAAGCAAAGTTCTTCAAACTTACTGTGATTCGTTGCAAAGACTTGGAAAATTTGCAGTCGAATTGGTGTCCAAAACAGAGCTCTCGACGGACATTTGGGACTTAAAGTCAAAAGTAACAGTAAACGTCTATTTGATAAATATTTTTAAAATCCGAAAGGGCGTTAAAAATATAATAACTAATTTGTCTCGAATTACAAGCAAGAACGAAAATTATATCACAAACATCATCAACTGTTTATGTCTTATTGACGGTCGCGCATGTGTTAACATGGACGTCTTCATACTCCTGAAGGTTTTCGTTGATCATGTCCTTATTTGCATGCTCTCAAGGATAACAGGATCAAAATATAATATATATATGTAGTTTGACAATCATTATCGACGATACCCACCGTTTTTTCTACAGCACAGTGGAAGCAGGGACGGAAACTTACGTCGCATCTGCCGCACCCCATATTTTATCTCTCACCTGAGCCCGTTAGCAAAAAGACTGAAGTCAAGAAGACTGGAGGGACTATCGGGCTCATCGGCTAACAAAGCTTAGCAGCTCATATGCGTGTGCCGCGCACGGTCGACCAGATCTGGTCCGATCTGGTCCAGATCGGAATCCGAACCGCCCTTTGTTGTTTTGGTGGAATTCGAATTTCACCAAAACAACAAAGGGCGGTCCGGATTGCGATTTAATGCGAGTATCATAAAGGCCATATTAAGATGGGACCACCGCAATTTGACTTGTCGTCATAGGAGAGGGGTCAAGTTACCCCGTCATTTTGCAGTCTACCAATTCGCAGCTTTCAGGACACAATGATGGAGTAAATACTCATCAGGTTCTTTACTATGGGGAATGTTTGGGGAAACATCGTGGGCTATTCCGGTCTATTTCAAAACCAAGAATCGTAGATGTGAGTTAGTTTATGACTCTTGTAATTAACAAACTGTAGCTTACATCGCCTACTTCACGGTCCGTCTTGTCATTTATTTGTTGAACAAAACCTTTGAAGAATTTGAATGATGCAACATTGCCTATGACGCGCAGGCGTCCGATTTTGACAAAATCTAGTACGGCTGATTTCTTTGAGATAATATCTCTCTGGAGAGACAGGCAAAGTCTTTTGAGGAGGTTCTCCACCTTTGTCCGCTCAATTTCTAAGTTGTCGGCTACTGCGAGCATATTCAGTGTTTTATATTTAATAGAACCTGCAACAAAAAAATAAAATATGTTTTAAATAAAAAAAGTTCACATCCAAAAGGCTCTGTGGCTTTCAATATAACTAAACGCTCCGGAAATATGCTAGCACTGTTCTGAACACATGTACTAAGTCTCTGCAGAAATGTAACGCGACTTACTTGGAACAAGACTCCCTACTTGCTTCAAGTCACATTGGTGGCATAACCAACTGGAAACATAAAAACAAGGCTTCCCCTTTGCTGTCTTTGAATAACCCAATGCGTGGTCATCGAAGGAGCAAAATGAGAATGTTCCAATTTTCGGTAGTTTTAAACCCTTTCGGATATGAAAGTTTGAAATGGACAAAACCTACCTCTCCACTACAGAGTTTCATGTGAATTTCAAAACATATTTCGTTCCAGATGCATTTGTTTGCTAAACTAGAATAATAAATCAAAACAGTACTCTTTATATCATCCTCAGGAGAATCCGACCTAAAGCAATTCATGCCTCACCACTGCCTCTATAACCATGTATAAACTGTCGATAGTTCTTTTAAACAATTTTCAAGGTATTTTGCTTGGTGCGTTTTTGCACAAAATAGCTGTAATTTCAGTAAGTTTTACTTTGTATTGCTGGCTTATTGCCTTGCGTCCGTATGCCTGAGATGAAAAAACTGTTGAAAAAACCGACAACTATTAATTCTCCTGCTGCCTGCATGTGACCGAATGATCACTATCTCAAGTGGGTTGACGGGATTCTTATTTGAACTTATGAGAACATTGAATGGAATAAAATTTTCGGGTATGCAGTTAAGGGTTATGTTATTCCGGCTTGTTCAATAGAGTTTTGCTAAGGAACCGCCCCTGGAGTGTTAAAATTGTTTATTTATAAATGTTATAGGACACGTAGGGATTCAGCTGTGCGCACCTATTCTCCGCGCGTCTCGAATTGGAATTGAAATTTTCGACCTTCGGTAAATTTTACCTCTAACAGGATGTCTATCTACTGGATGCCCTCCCGGCCCATGGGTATAAAAGATCCGTTTCGTCTTTGTAACACGTCCATCCCCACAAAGCTACATCAGGAATGGCGTGGGAAAAACCTGTCGTCTTCTGGCTGTCTCTCTGCAACAGCACTGAGAGATTCCAGAAATCCAGGAAAGACTGAGTCAGTTATCTCATATCTATGACCTGATTTAAAATTCGTCTCAGATCTTTAAAAAAACGCTTGAAATTCACCTACTCAATAATGTTGTTCGGACAAATACCCTTGGAACAATGTGCAAAACGCCACCACAGGCCAGAATTGAACTTGGGCAGTCGAGCGGCATGGGGAGCGTCACTACCATTAGGACAGCGACACTCGGCAGCCAAGTCAAAACGAACGATTTTGAGGAGCAAGAAGGACATTTTCAATCGAGTTCCTCACCGAAAACAGTTGGTCCTGCGCCAGAAATTGGATTCCAAAACGCATTGTTGTCTACGATCCTCAACCTTACTGCCATCGTTGCACTCATCGTACGATTAGGACAATTTTCTACAAACCTGGCGATTCTGTCGGCAATCTGAGCTTAGACAACACAGCCTATAAATCCTACACATTGTCTCGAACTGTCCACCGTACCTTTGGAACAGGACGCCCTAAAGGCTGAGTCAATAATTTCTACACTCCTTGTTGAGCGGCTTTGACTTGTACACTTGGCATATTACCAAAAATTCTTAGCTAAAAAGTCCTCCAGGCCTTGCATTCTTGAAATTCTCCGAGAAGCCCAACCATACGTACAGGATTTCCTATTTGGCCCTAGCTGACGTTTTTTCTTCTATTCCTGCGGCTTGCTCCTTTTCCATAACTTCACGGCATGACTGAAGTACGCGCTGACGTCCAAAATATAGGCCGGAAAGTGGAATCGATCCAGTGATCACCCCTTCGTCAGTCAACTGCGCTAACCCCCCGGCCACGGCAGCTCGGCAGCGAGCGATATCACACAGTCTCCTTGACTGTATAGATGCAGAAAATGCAGGCCAAAGTTGCAGTGGATGGTAGATTCTGGCCGTCAAGGTCAACTATCTTGAGGAAGAATTCACAAAGATGAAAGCCCAGTTGCGATGCAGTCTAGACCATGCTAACGCTACCAATATGCCTACTGGACGAGTAACCAGAAGTAGGGCAAAAACACGTCAGCACCTATTACGGCGGCATCAAAACGAGTAGCTAAAAAGCGAGGAAATAACGGCCAGAAAGGAAACCCAAAAACTGAAAAGAAAAAGAAATCAAACTGTAAAAAGGCCAAGGAAAACGGACGACTACTTCCGGAAGATGCCTCCATAGAGGCCGAAACAGAGACATTGACGGACTTTCCGTCCTTCATAGCAAATGTTCTGTGTCCAAGCACCCTTGCTGATTCTCCAAAACAGTCCAAGCTTGCTAGACCTAGTACGAGCAGTGGAATCGATTCATCCATCAGAGCCACAGAGTTATATTCACAGTCTTCTCTGCCAAACTATTCTTCCAAGGTTGTCAACATAAAGGTCAAACAAGCAGACGGCGTAAGTGCATCCGCTCCACCATCACCAGCGCATAGTCCCAGAGCGTTACGTCATTTATGGAACCTCACTTCGATAGAAAATAAAAAAGAAACTGACAGAGAAAAGTGTAATATTATTCAGGGACTCCCTGAATCATGTGCAAACACCCTTAAGGAGCGGGTTTCGGAAGACCTATCACTCTTACAAGGTCTTCTCAATCATATTGTGGAACCTAATGAGGCTTTTGAAGTGATCAAAGCCTTCCGCCTTCGAAAACGGGCAGATAATCCATCAGTGTCGATTTGTCCCCGGCCTCTAAAAGTTGTGCTGGCCAGCAGCGACCGAGCCAGTCTCATCCATTCCAGACGATTCAGGATTAAAGGCTCCACTCCAGGTGTTTTTATTTTCAACCGAACTACTCGCCAGCGGAACGGCTCAAACTTCGTCAACTAGTTCCAGAACTAAGAAAGAGGCTCAGCGAGGGGGAGGACAATTTAGTTATATACAACAACCATGTACGGCGGCATCCGACACTCTTCCTTTGGGCAGGTCCGGTCCGAATGACCGCGCAGCCGACATATTAAGTGAAGTCGCTGACCAAAATATAACCACATCTTCCGTCAGCCGGAAATTGAAATTATTGTACACCAACGTGCAGAGTTTGCTATCCAAGTTCGACGAGCTGAAGATCCACCTCTGCGATCTATCCCCTGGCGTAATCTGTTTAACAGAAACCTGGTTGACCCAACACTCGGACGACCGTGAGTTGGCCTTGCCTGGCTAGCAGATGTTTGGAAGGGCGTCAGGGAGGAGGCGTAATCACGTTTATGAAAATTAGGATAAACGTATAAGACAAAACCGATAATTTTCGCACAGTTCCGAGGCAATCTGGCTGTCTATTAAAGAGCCGAGCTCGCCTAGCCTCGATGTCCTGACAGTTTATCGACCGCCGAGACGGGAAAACATGGCCGACGCTCGCCTGCTGGAGGAGCTCGAAAAGTTCGCTACGCGGCCGGATATACTGATCATGGGCAACTTTAACGCGCTTCATATTGACTGGAACTCGACCCATGCAAATAGCTCGGACACGCCATCGATAGGAGTTTTCTGAACATGGTAATGAAGTTATTTCTCACTCAACACTTCATGTTACCAACTAGAGTACCCGAAGGCCAACAAGCCAACTGCCTTGATGTTGTCCTTACTAAGTCACAGGACAGCATTGATAAGGTGTCGTGCCTACCCCCTTGAGGTAAAAGAGGCCACGTCTTTATTCTATGGGATTAATCGTTTTTTCATGCCCGAGAAACCCGTGACAGTTAGAAGAAACCTTTGGCTCGGGGACTTCGATCAAATGAGGGCTGAAATTTCACGCATTGATTGGGAGTCCGTTTTTGCTGGAAGCATACTCGAAGACTGGCAACGGTTCCGTGAAATTCTGCACAAACTGATCGCAAACCACTGTCCGCTTTCACGGAAAAGGTTAACTAACAGACCTCGATGGCTTGCGCAAGCCTTGAAGTGAATAAAAAACAGAGGCTGTGGAAAAATCGCTTTCTGATGGAAGCCCCACATCTATATGTGTGTACAAGGTTCAAAGAAATCGAGTCAAGGGCCTAATTGATAATTGATAATTTTTATTTAATGCCAGTTTACAGGCATTGTCAAGGGAAGCGTTAAACACAAATCTGACCAGCAGTGAAACAAACTCCTTAGGTAAAGGAATAAAATATAGTTGAAGGTGGTTTTTATGGTTTAGAGGGTTCAGGAGAAAAAACTGCTGGCTGTATACATTCGACCGTCAAGAAGGTTGGGGGGGGGAGTTGTACGGTATCGGAGATTGTCGGACGTCAATTCCTTTCATGAAGTTGGGGATAGTCAAAGTAGAGGCGTTGAGTAACATCTGTCGCTGTTGGTCAACGAAATTGTCCATGATGAGACAGGCCATAGTGTTCAGAGACTACAAACGCCATCGATACGGTAGAGTCGATCAGTGGATTTAGCACCCAAAATTTGTGGGAGCTTTTCTGAATGCAAAAATCGAGTAATAGTTCTCTTAAATAAAGGATAATTTTGCAGATTTTTCACACTCATGGGTAGTTTATTCCAAATAGCAATTGCATTTAAAGAAAAGAACCGACGATATTTAACAGTACGTGCCAGAGGCAGAAATAAAAAGACCTCACGGTGACTGTTACGTCGGGGGTGGATATGATGCCCTAAAGAGGTGAGTGGGTTAAATTTGTGATTATATAAGAGTTTAAATAGCAAAAATAGTCCCTTTGGTAATCTACGGAACCATAAAGGATCAAGGCCCGTAAGCCGGCAACGTTCTTGGTAAGACAAATGTCGGTGTTCCGGGGTTAAAACTCTCTTGGTAAAAAAGTGTTGAACGGATTCCATTTTCTTCCGCTCAGTAGCACGCATGAGGCTAAATAAAAACGAACCGTATTCCAGACCAGGTCTAACGTACATGTTGTAAAGAGGTATTCTAATTTCCGTAGTTTTGAAGTTTCGGAGGATAAATCCGGTTGTTCTACGTGCTTTGGAGACTATCAAGGCACAGGGCTCCGAGAGATTGATACTCTTGGAGTATGATACGCCCAGATCATTAATAACCCCAGGCACATTTATGGCATGACCTTCAATACTTAGTTGAAGTTGGCGGTCGTCGCCAACCTCCATGACTGAGCACTTATACCAAGAAAGAGAAAGGCGCCATGTGCGGCACCACTGGGCGAAAGCCTGTAGATCGCTCCTTAGGAGCTCAAGCACGATGTCATGATCTGCCGGCTTATATCGATATGCAACTTTAAGATCATCCGCATACATGAAAGGCTTACCATTCTGGAATAAATCGGGTACA